AGAAGTTTGTGGCTTTTTAGTCAACGCTAAACAGGAGGATCATTTCGAGTCTTCTTGTCACGCCTTAAAAAAATAAAATTGCAGGTATATTAGGTGGGTGGGTGAAGGAGGACAGGATTGCAGGGTAACACAACCGAGATAGACTGAGAAACTTTGCTTGCCACAAAGCTTTAGGTTCGAGAATGGCAGGAGAGGGTGTCAAGTTGCTGGGCTACTGGGCAAGCCCTTTTGCACTCAGGGTTAGGTCGGCATTGAAACTCAAAGGCATTGAATATGAGTACCAAGAAGAGGATCTTGGAAACAAGAGCCCCCTGCTCTTGCAGGGTAATCCTGTTTATAAGAAGGTTCCAGTTCTGCTGCACAACGGGAAATCAATATCAGAATCCCTCGTAATACTCGAGTATATCGATGAAGTTTGGAAGCATAATCCACTCCTCCCTGAAGATCCTTATGAAAGGGCTAGATCGCGCTTTTGGGCCAAATTTGTTGATGAGAAGGTAAGTAAGAAGGCAGAATTCTGCAGATCATCATAACAATCTAAGTTTTTGGCTAGAAGCAACCAGCATAATACTAGAGGTTGTATCATATGCTATCAGTTTTTAATAACGCAACTTGCGAGTCAATATAGAAAGAATATTTAATGTTCCCTGTAAAGATTCCAAGTTCACACATTACTCAAGTTGATTTCATTTACAGAGCACCTTTTTTTTTGAATCTTTTCTTTCCAGTGTGTGCCTGCACTGGTAGGAGTAATCACCAAAGTCGGGGAGGAGCTGGAAAAGAGTGCAAGAGAAGCTCGTGAACATCTGAAGACCCTAGAAAGTGGACTGGATGGGAAACGCTGTTTTGGAGGCACGAAGATAGGTTTTGCAGATGTTGCTATTGCCTGGATTGCATACTGGGTTAGAATGGAGCAGGAAGCTTTTAAGATACAACTCATTGATCAGCAAAATATGCCTTTGCTTGCTGCGTGGATTGATTACGTCCTTGAAGATCCAGTCATGAAAGAATTTATGCCACCTTACGACAAACTGGTCAAGCACACGAGAGATTTGCGTGAGAAGTTGACAGCAGTTGTGTCAAATTGAAGTGAAACACTGTCAATTCAATTCACGAGTTCCTGCAAATGATTTGTCTAAGTCTACTGCTAGATCAACGATGCATCGGCTATAGCAGAATAAAATACTCATTATGGGAAACAGGCAGTTGTGTGCTAGCGGATAAGTAAACAATGCAACTAAACCATATGTGTTATGAGATGTTATTCAGAATTATTGGCTTCCATTTGCTTTGGATATTATGTGGCAGCATGAAAAGAATTTTAAGGTTTCTTTGTTTATCCGGGCCGTTGATGTTTAAGCAAAATTCATAACCCATGAACAAAATCAATTCTTCCAGGAGAGACAGAATACTTGACTTGGTGTTGTGAAGCTGGTAATTTGATACACACACCAACCTCAACCCCTGTCCCTAAAACCCAACTCCCTTGGGGGAAAAGAAGAGAAGAAAAAGAGAAATGGCTAATGTGACTCCCCTAAGAAGGCAAAAAGAAATTGCTAATGGAACAAGCAAGCTTATAGCATTACCATGAACTCATTCACAAACAAATTCAGATTACTGATGCAAAAAGATAGTGAGGAGCAGAAGATTCGATCCCGAATCAGAAAAACCAGAATTTGGAGATGAGTTATACCAGGATTAACAGATGAGACATAAATGGAACCCCAAATTCTTCCAGAAATCCTTATGACAAGAGTGAAAGACATGAACAAAGACAAAACTTTGCTGCAACATTTCTGGCACCAGAGGAGAAGATTTAAACAATTCTATCAACAAATCTCCAAAACGGAAATGAGAAAAGAGTTCAGAATATGCGTATTTGCAAAAAAGAAAGCAATTCAGCCATCAAAGCATTTTTCATATTTTGTGGTAGGTCTGTACCTTCATTGGAATCATTTTGTGTAAAAACTAAATTTTCATTTGCTTGAAAACCAAGGAAACTTACAACTGTTATCTTGTTGTACGTCCAAGAAGAATTAATGCTGACTTTGTGTCATAGATGCAGAGAAAGAAATTGAGCATCACATTCTGATGTTATAGCAACTCTTTCGCTATAGAAATTCTTGATTCTACAACACCCAAGTTGCCAGGAGAGGGAACTCCAACTCTTTTGAAACGGACTTTGTTGAAAACAAGCATCAAGCATGTTTGACACAACAGGCTGATCGTTCCAGCTGTTTTCAGGTTCAGGGAAGAAAGTTGAAGCCCAAAAATTTGTATCTGCAAAACTTATCAAAGAATCCGCCACTACACATCTTTTGCAATCTCATATATTGAATTCATGAACAAGTGCAGAAGCCTCATAGTCCAATTCAATTCCATCCTTGTGCATAAGTTCAAGGATGTATTCAATGGGTCTTTGCGAGTAGGCATGCATTCTTAGCAATGATTTATAGACTGGCAAACTAGCAAGGCCCAAACTCCTGATGATTCCAAGATACTGCTTTGCGTCTTCAATCTTTCCCTTCTTCTCAAAGTACTCTGCAATTGCCACCACAATACTAGCTGATGGTCTCCAATCACAATCTTCCAACATAGAAAGGCATCTTCTCATTGTATCTATAGCTTTATCCATTTCATTGCTCCTTACCCATCCCTCTGTGAATATCTCCCAAGTTTTATAATTTGGACATCCACCTCTGTTCAATGAACGGATAAATAATGATTCAGCTTTCTTCATCATGTCATTCCTCATGTATGCGCCTAGAAGAATGTTTGGCACCCTAATATCATATGTCCTACACTGTGACTCCCACTCAAGAAATATATTTTCAGCTTCTTTAATATCACCAAGCTTCACCAAACATGACAAGATGCACATGTAGTTCGCACATGTGATTCTGCCCTTTACCCCTTTGCTAGCTTTCCAAAGCCGCACAACTTCATCCTTCCTATTCAAAGAGGCATAGATTGTTGACAAAAATAAATAACCAAGGCGATTACAGCTAGATAGTTTATTTTCTGCCTCTCTCAGTGCCCAAAAAGCCTTGTTAACTGCTCCTGATTTTTGGTAAATATTTGCCAAAGTAGATAAAGAGCTCCATCCTATCACAACATTTTTGTCATGAATCATTTCTTTGTAAACATCCTCAGCTGATCCAACACCTGACAGCTCTGCACACGCATTCATCCAAAGGTTGTACGATAGGACATTTCTTGGTATTCGATTTTGTTTCATCTGCACTATGACAGCGAGCACTTTCTTATGTTGAGATGTTGCTATGTAAAGCTTCATCATCTCGTTAAATGGTTGAGGGTATACAATTAGCCCCAAGCTGTTCATCTTCTGCATGAAAGCCTCAGCCTTCTCAGTGGACCTTTCTTTAACATAAGAGTGAAGCAGAGGGAGACAAGCGGCTTTCTTAGAAACAGTGTCGGGCAAATTTTCAAAATACTCTTCAGCTTCCCCTACAGTGTGCACTTTAATTGTCAATTCCAACCTCATTGCATGATCAACAGCAGACATTCGAGATCTTTCTTTAGCCTCCATCCATGTGAATATCTGCAAAAGAAAAAAAACCAAACAACATTGCTTCCTGCATCGAATTTCTGACATAAACCCCACAATAGGAAAAAAAAGAAACATACATATCCTGTCTCTTGCACTTATACTCTCACATTAACATGAAAACCAGAGTAAATGTATAGCATCAGTGCCACTACAACCACCAAAAATCACCCCTCAAACAAGGAGATTGCATTTCACTGAGTTTAAGCATTTCAGTACAACGAGTACAAGGTCAAAGAATGAAATTCAATCTTGGCGTTCACCCTGCAAATACTACCAAAAGCAACCTTCCACGTGCAGAAAGGGATCCAAGGAAGGTCTGTATTTCATGTGCAGAAAGGGATCCAAGCCAAGGAAATTAGCATCTATCAAGATAGTCATACAGGTAATCCATCCCATCAGCAAAGTTCTACCGGCCATATCACAAACATGAAAATAATCTAGAAATTGCAGAACAGCAGAAATCTACTATAAAACCAAAAACTTAGAAACTCATTTTCCCTTTTCACTCATGTTTAATTACACCAAAGCCGTCCAAGAATCTAGCAATCTCGGCTTCAATTCTTCCAAATTTCGCGTTACTAGGAAAAGCATCAAGATTGACACCACAATTACGAGATGTACAAAATGAAAAAAGGGAAACAAGAAAAGGGAAAAAATGGGTACAGAAACAAGAAGTCAAGAAAGCCTAAGAAGTAGTAAAAGCATTAAGCACGAAAGACCTCCAGGGCGTGCTTGAAACGCTGCCGTTTCAGCAGTAGCCTGGATATGCAACGGAGCTCAGAGACTGAGACCCGTCCGCGGCCTTCCTCAACCCAATTCTGCAGAACAGAAGTGGCGCTCCGCCGTGGGTACACAAGCTTTAAAATCCTAGTTTTGAGGCCACCAACACCACCACCATCATCTTTATCAATCTTGTGGGCCTTGTTAAATGACTCCGTACTGAGTCTAGAAATTGTTTCTGATGAGAAATGCCTCCACAACCTCCAAATCACTTCATTTGCTACACTGACAAATATAACATTTCCGCCCCACCAAAAATTAAACATCACTAAGGGAGAAACTCTTCAGTCACAATTACTGCAACTTTCTGGGTAGTTAAGAAAGAGTTATATTTACCTGCTTGGAGCAAAAAGCTGCAGACGAACTGCCATTCTTGATTTCTTTCCCCTCTTCTACAGCCCACAGGATTTTTTTTTCCCTGTTGTTTCTTTTGTTAAACACGGTCGCTGTTCTATGGAGGACGAGTATTGCAAATGAACCGCGCTGAAGCCAAGCTTAGCTCGCGACTCCAAAGGCGTGTTCTGAAAAAGGCGTCTGTACTGCGCCTTCGTGACAAGAAAGGCGTGGTTATAGGGCTGTAGCATATAAGCTGAGAAATTACGCCTTCATTTCCAATCTTTACAATTTGTTCCAGAAACTGCTGCCGCCTGCCTAGAATCATTGTAGACTTGCTAAGCAAGCCAAGGCTTGTCACTAATCAGTAATTTCCGGTACCCAACGACGGCGTCTCTTTGTCGCTGCTCCGCCCACTGCCTTTAACCTCCCAAAAACCTCCGGATTTCCATGAGCCCGTCCGACGTCGTCGGAGACCGTTGCTCGCTTTCAACTCCCCCGTTTCAAACCTCTAAACCAATTAATCTTCCTAAAAATTTTTCATAGGTTTGAGTTCAAATAGTTTAAAATGGGCAGATGGAAGCCGCTTGGTTCGTCAGCACATTCAATTTTGAAGAATTTTTGGGTAGTTTTAATCAATAATCAATTATTTTTGCTCAATCAAAATTACTTACTATTTGATTTATCGCTTCATATCTTCTTCTGTTCTTTTTCATTTCATTTTTTGCCGCAGTTTCGGAGTTCAAATTTTCTAGAATGTTCAGCTGGAAAGAGGCCATTGCAAGTGGCATTTCCGGCCTTGGATCACTGCCGATGTAAGAAGCCGTTGTAGGCTATAATTTGTTTAGTTATTGCGCATTGTTTGATTGTTCATTACAAAGATGGTTTTAGCACAGTGTAGGTGTGCTTAAGGAATATATATTATCCCTTAGGAGGAAGAAAAAACAAAACTTTGCCGCCCAAAATTAAGAACAAAAATGGTAAATAAGACAAAGCTGAAATAGATTACTCAAATGGTTTGGCACAAAGGAAATGTGACTGTTCTAGGTTCCTTTATGTGTCTATTCGTTACTTAGCTTGTTGATTCACAAATTAATATAGTGTAACGAGGTCACCTGTAATTTACTGTCGAGTCTCCGTTCAATTTCCAAAGGTTTACCTTTGAGATGTATTGAGTCAGAGATGATGATTTTAAATAGAAAAGGCAATTTGGTTTTACAAATTTATTAAATGATTCTTCTTGTTATGAGTAATTAAATTTTAGAGTGACATCTGAAGGTAACAAAATCAGGTGTTAACATCATCAAATTGTGATAATATCCCCAAACCCTGATGCTATTTTTTAACTTCACTTCAACAAAGGGTGTTTATCTTCTTCTCGTTAGAATGCTTGAAAATGGAATTTGGGGACGTTTATCACAATGGCTTTTCCAGAATCAACAGTTATTTCTCTCCTCTAGAGAATGTTGTAGTCTTTTTGACAAATTGTTTTTCTCTTCTAGAGAATGTTGTAGTCTTTCAGAATCAATACTCATTTCTCTGGTAGGTCCATTTTCAGATCTGTAAAGTCCATTCTGTTGCATCCAGAATGGACAAAAATAAATATATTTTAGCTATTGTAATTAAAAAAGTTTTCTTTATGAGGTTTAGTTTAGTATTAGATGGTAGCTGAAATTGCTTATGACTAGGTCTGCTCTAGGGCAGGGCCACTCTGAGTTTGGTACTAGGCAATTTGCCAAGTATGGAGGTTGACCCTTTCTGAGGTTGCCCTGGGAATGGACATGAGCATTTGAGTTTGCAGTTCCGCATTTTCTTTTTTGGCTCCCACCGGGGTTGGGAGTGGGGGAGGGGAAGGATTGACGGCAGCCACACTGGTGAAGGCAGTGTTTATTGGTAGAAATTGTAGCACTTGAAAAGTGGTTTAGTATGTCGAATTATTTTATGGGTTTTTGCATGGCTCTTAGCTGCTTGGTCTCATCTGCAGCTGTTTAACAGGGTAGTAATTGGGTGGCAAGTGTTTGCATGTGTAGTTGCATGCCAGAATCTGGTGTGGCTTGGCGTTGGAGGTAGCAGTGACATTTATCTGGCATGGGTAGCACATTCTTTAGTTGGCAGCTGAAAATGCTTATGACCAGGTCTGCTCTGGGGCATGCTTATGGTTTGGTGACATGCCCTATGTTTGGTGCTAGGCAATTTTACCAAGTATGGATGTTGACCATGTCTGAGGTAGCATTGGGCTTGTTCTGGGCATGGACATGAGCATTCAAGTTTGCAGTTCTGTGCTTACAAAAAAAAAGTTTGCAGTTCTGCATTTTTTTGGCACCCGGGGGGGGGGGAGGCGGTGGTTGGTGGATTGACAGCAGCCATACTGGTGAAGGCAGTGTTCATTGGTAGAGTTTGTAGCACTTGAAAAGTGGTTTAACATGAGTAATTATTTTATGGGTTTTGCATGGCTTTTAGCTGCTTGGTATGGTCTGTAGCTGTTTACAAGGGTAGTAATTAGCTGGCAAGTGTTTGCTGTGTGTAGTTGCACGCCAGAAGCTGGTTTGGGTGGGCATTGGAGGTAGCAGTGACATTTATCTGGCACGTTCTTCAGTTGGCAGCTACGCATGAAACAGGGACAATGTAGTTGGTTAGCTATCTCAAAGCTACCAAGATGTTGACAGCAGTCTAAAATATGGTTCACTGCTTTTGAACGTTATGCTGTTGCTGTTTTCAACTGAACTTGAATTTGAGTTCTTGTGATAAAACCCTCAATGTTGGATGCCATAGACAGAGGGACATGCTACAAGTCTAATTTGTAATGCCTTTGTGGTTGAGAAAAAAAGTGAATGGTGTGGCTTTGCCTGTATGTTGCCATTTGTTAATTTGCCTTGATTTGGTTTAGTATAGGGCAAGGCTGGCATCTCTGGGCCCGGTTCACCTTGTGTTTTGGTGTACTTATGTGTGTGTGTTCTTATGTGCATATCCTCTTGTTTGACTATAATATGTGAATGTGTATGTATTTGTTGCAGTGACTGTTGGGTAATGTATCTGTGAAGCATTCCCCGCATGGTTTGCATTTCTACTTCTTATTGAGTTGTCTAAGTATGGAATCCATAAGAAGCAGATGTGCAGATAATTCTATACATAAATCTGTAGTTGTATAATAGAAATGTAAGCTGTCTAATGCTGAAGTTATGTTTCCTCAGATTTGTGCAGTTGCAGGATTTTATTGTACCCTGCTGATTTTGTTCCTAAGGGGCTATTATTGTCCAAGCGCTTCATTCATGCCACAGGTTTTCTCTTTGATTTAAAGTGAAAAGGTGTCTTGATTCTGTGGAGATTTTTGTGACAAATTGTGTTATGTTTCTGATTCTACTGCATGCAAATTAATTCGCAGGACCTTCCAATTCCACGGAAAGAGATTACTATGAAATTCTTGGGGTCTCTAGAAATGCCACCAAAGAGGAGATTAAGAAGGCTTTTCATGCTGTGAGTGTATTATGATGCCTCTATTTAGTGTTAATTTTCAAACTTCACAGCTTTACACACAGACACACATACATTCACATATATGTTTTTTTGTATGTGTGTACTTGGTTTTACTTTGTTTTGGATGATCAAGTGCTATGATGTATTGCTAACTTCTTATTGGAGTACTTCTAGTTGAATTTCTCTTTAACTAGGTACTTTTGAACACTTAAAAAGGGTTTCAACTTTTCTTTGACTATGCTTGTAATAAAAGATAAAAAGACTCTCAATTTGACAGACACCTGTGGAAGAGGTTATATGAGCATAGGATGCATGGAGTGTGATTAAGATTAGGTATTGTAATTCAATATTATTATATATCAGTGAAGTATAAGTTGAGCATTTGAGCGTAAATCACTCCAAAAAGAAGAATGAACAAGTGCAAAAAGACTGGATTAGGTGGAAGTTTTGTTTATTATGTGGATTATGCTGTCCATATAGTACATCATTTGATGATGATCAGCACCTATGAATTATGCTTCATCCACAATTAAATGTTGCAAATGGGGTGAAGCAAAAATGGTTTTCATAACTTAATATTATATCATTTCAAGGATGTGGGAGTATAAATCTAATGGTTGAACATGCACAAGATTATACTTGTTGAAAATGCTCTGCTTGCGTGTCTATTTACTGTCAGTCTTGGAAATCAATGATGCCATCTTCTGAGTTCTGACTTTTATGAAGTTCACTGTGCATTTGTCAGAGGAAACTCAGAGGATAAGTGTTGCTAATCATGTTATTGCATGTCATGTTAAATGTGTTGTAATGATTAGTCCTAAGATGTTAAGGTGAGATCTATAATGTTTAGAATAAGAGAAAATGTCCAAGATGGTTTAGACATATTTTGGGTCATCATATAGGAAGTGCAGAATGGATTCTTGGAAGCACCAGAAGTAGAGGAAAGTAGAGAAGCAGATGAAATGAACTAATGATCGCTGCCATGATTTCTGTTTAGCAGAGACATCAACCTTGAGAAAAGAGACTGAGAAAGTGGATTTATATAGCCAAAATAGTATTGATATATGCTTTTTAGTTGAATATTGTGTTAAATAATATTTCAATATTTTTCTGACATTTTATTATTGTCTCTTTGGCAATTCTTAGCTTGCGAAGAAGTACCATCCAGATGCGAATAAGAAAAATCCTTCTGCAAAGAGGAAATTTCAAGAGATAAGAGATGCTTATGAGGTTTGTAGTTGTTTCTGTATATTTGGAATCATAAATTCAGGATTGACTTTTTCCGGGAAAAGTGTTTAATTGATAACTGCTCTGTTGAATGTGAATTCCAGATTTTACAAGATCCAGAAAAGAGAGCCCAATATGATAGGGTAATAATCTTTTCAGCGTTTGGTATGTTAAAATAGTTTTCCATCTGCTGTTTGACTTGTCAGTTCTCCAATCTAATTAACCATGAAAGACAGATCAGTGAATATGGCAGGACTGGAGAAGATATGAACTATTCTTCTGGGGATGCGGATGGGTTTAGATTTACCTATGGAACTCAATTTTCTGATTCATTTTATGATGTTTTTGCTGAGGTAAAGCTGTTGTGCTTGCTTAGCTTGTCTGCTGTAGTTCTGGAATGAAATTCTTGTTATGCTTATGTACTAACTGTGGGTGATATCTTGTAGATATTCAAAGATCAAGCAAAATTTCATACCAAGGATATCCAGGTTATCTGCACTTGGGATTTTTGTGATGTTAGATATTATTGTTTCCATCTATTCCAGTTTGAGCAAGCTTAACCTATTTGGATTCTGATCGGGATGTTATAGGTGGAGCTTTCACTCTCTTTTTCTGAAGCTGCTAAAGGATGCACCAAACATTTATCTTTTGATGCAGATGTCCCCTGTGATGCTTGCAGTGAGTGGATTGTAACTTAAAAATGTGTAATCCTAGATTATGTTTACTCTTTCAACTCTGCATCTGGTCTAACTTCATAGTTCTCTCTGAGGAAGAGTTCTTAATCAGTTTCTGCATTAAACAAGTATGAATTTAGAAGTGGTATAGCATGTTATATGTCCCATGGGTATAACAAGGTCAAGGATGATCTGGAGCACTTTAATTTTGTGATTCTTTCAAATTGTTTTTCTTTAGTCTAATATTATGCTTTTTTGTCTTTTTGTACTGAGTTCTTCATGTTTTCTGTCTTCTCGAAAACCCAGATGGGCATGGCTATCCACCAAATGCAAAGCGAAAAATTTGCCATAATTGTCAAGGCAGTGGGATGGTTAGTGTGTTGCGGTTATAATTGCGTATACCATTGATACTAATATTATTAACACATCTAATAGTCTTGAACGCTACCAGGGTTTAAGATTATTTTGGTCTTTTTTCTGTTTAAAAGTGTCTTTGTTTTGTGATTCATGAATAATAATGGTTACATTGTAGCAAACATTTCTTCGCTTCACTGAAACGTGCAGTATGTGTAAAGGATCTGGTGTAATATTTAAGGTTGGTTTATTTCTTCTTCTTCTTCTTCTTCTTCATCATCATCATCATCATTATTATTATTAGTAGATTTCTAATACGTATGCAATTCTAGGAATTTTGCAGGGCATGCCAAGGATCAGGTGCAGTTGAAGGAGTGAAGCATGTTAAAGTGTCAATTCCGGCAGGTTGGTGCTGAATGTTTTTCTGACCAGACTATGATCATAGGACTTGGCATTTTCATTTGAAATCATTATAAAATTAAATCTCCTATTTTTGATTTTGTATTGCATGGATAATTGAAATTGCTCAACTTCATCCATTTTAATTGGCTTTAAGGGACCATTGTGGAAGATTTTGGATCTATTAATTGCTACCAGCTGGATATTCATTGTATAGTTCCATGTTCTTGCAAGTAGAAGAACACTTTGGTATTACAACATAATAATAGCTGGACTTCCGATGTGTATCCTCCCGAGAACTTTTAATATCTTCAGGAATAGAAATTCGATCTTGAACCTTTGACAGGTGTCCTTTTAAGATTTTACAGGAAGTGGTTTATATGTTGAAGTATGACCCTTGTTGCTTATAAACTTGCTGTAGATACTTACAAATTGCCAATGGCTACATGCGGATTTTGGTGGTTTTTCAAAATTTTTTTATGAAAGCAGTTTGCTGTTCTCATACTGGTTCTGGGTTTGCATATTTCTTTTCATGCGAGGATGCTATTGTGAAATAAATTGTCTTTGCTTGTTATAGACATCAGGATATGCTAGTTTAAAAAAAAAAATCAGGATATGTTGCCTGTAAGATTGTGTCCTAGCTATTATATCATCATGATGCGACAGTGGTGGAAATATTGAGTGGCTTGCTGTTTTTGCTCATCTTCATCATGGAGCAGGTGTGGACACTGGGGATACAATTCATGTTGAAAATGCTGGCAATGCTGGCAGACATGGACTCGAACCAGGCAGCCTGTTCATAAAGCTTAAGGTAGAGTCCTTCTTGCTTGAATTTGTTTTATTCCACTAAATTCTTATTTCTTGATTAATTTTATAATTTTCCACTAAATGCTTTTGTATACTACCTCTTTCTGTTTAGAGTTCCCTAATATGAACCTTGTTGTCCTTCCCACCCTCCCCCTTCTCTCTCTCTCTCTCTCTCTCTCTCTCTCTCTCTCTCAAGTTGTACAAGAATGTTGTTGTAACTTCTATGTCCAGTTACACTATGTAATTATCCACCTAAAGAAAATGGTTTAATATAGTGACATAACAGAACCATAAAGGTATGATTACTCTTATTTGCTTTGTGAAAATTTGTGCATCTCTGGTTTCAGGTCACTGAAGATCCTCTTTTTGCCAGAGATGGGGCTGATATATATGTAGATAGTAATATAAGCTTTACACAAGTGAGACACCATTCTTTTACTCTTTTATGTTTAAGTCTCCTTAATCTACAGGCACAGCTAATGCTTAATGTGGACAGATAATTTTTGTGTTCACTATGATTCTGAACCAAATAAGTATCCTTTTACAAGTATACTGTCTGCCTACCTTCTTTGTTGGACCTTTCTTTGTCATTCGTGATCGGATAGAATCCATATGGATGTTTTTTGAAAGTTCTATGGGGCTCTAGTGGAGATATTTGTACCATCTTATTATTATGTTTCTTGGCCCTGTGAATCTCAAATACCAATGTATGAAAGTTACAGCATAGGCAGAGAGATTTAAAGTAAGGTCTGTTTGGTCTCTGATTACTGTTCTGATTTAATCTAAAAAATTTACTAAATAAACTTTTTCAAAGCATTTTTGTGTTCCATTATTCAGTTGCTATGAAAAATTGTACCCAAAAAGTAATTAACATTTAAGCTGGAATCTGGATGGATAAATGCAAAAATAAGGGAAACAAACTCAAAAAGATAGGATTCAAAATGTTGCTACATCTTATTATTACCTTTTCTTTTTTCCCTGAAACCTGTATCACTTGTTGTTTCAATTTAGAAAGTATAATTTTGGTAAAAAATTGTAAATTCCACCTTGAATGAACCAATCAAGGTGTTTATCTAACTGTTTATTTTGTGATTGGCATAATTGATTGTAAAAATTGTCGTAGTGACAACTAGATTGAACAGTATTGCCATCTCTTAGGGTCTTGATTGTGTTGTTTCGAGCATTGGGTCCCAACAAGCAGAATTTGTATGTACTTCACTGACTTTGGAGCTAGTCTTATCTTTTAGCATACCTTATTCAACAAGTGCTTGACATGTTCTAGAGACATTTAGCTGGATGATTTCAACAAGTACTTCTTGGAGAACTTGGACTTGGTTTTGGATGCGCTTAGCTATGGTTTTTTCATGCTTTCTTTGATTTTTATTTTTCTGGCGATATTTGTCTGCTCAGACAGATTGTGATGGGTTAAAGTAATGCTCTAGATAGGCATTTTTTAATCTGAAACCAGATTTACGAGGTTTCTGTTATGAGCTTTAAAACTCAGCATATATAGCTATTTAGAGACTTAATTTGATATCACTTTCAATTGATTGTTGCCACATTTTAGGAACTCTAAAATAATTTGAAGTCTTTTAAGATCCTCTATAACAGTTATGTGGTGATTGTATTTGATAGTACTGGACTTGGTGTTCAATGCTTACTAGAGTTTTTTTAACAGGCTATCCTTGGTGGAAATGTGGAAGTGCCAACTCTGTCTGGGAAGACGAAAGTGCAAGTATGATGTTTATTTCACCTTATGATGTTAATTACATGTATATGTGGTGATGTGACGTTCTCTGCCTCTCTTAAACTGTGAAGTTATCCTTTAGTGGTAATATTCTGTTGGAGGGTTCTCATTGACTGGTCTATGTAATGGTGCTCATGTTGCTTCAAGACATTTACTTTCAGCCTTGTGATGTCCACTTAGTAGTTATTGACAGGGTTTAAGGACTTCTTCAAAATTCTTTTCTGCTGATAGGGAAGATTATCTGGATCAAGATGGATTATGCATACTATGGGAGTCTTGAGTATTCAAACTTGCAGTTGAAATTTGTGCTATTTAAAACACAAAGTGCAATAAACTTTACTCAAGTTATGAGATTTCACTTTCTTGTTTTGGATATTTTGAAGAGACAAGTGATTTAAGCAAGTAGGATACTGTTTCCATTTAATTTCCGTCGTTTATTTATTTATTTATTTTTTGTGAGAGGATACAACATATATGTTTGATAGAAACTGAAACATTAAGAAAATAATTTCTTCCTGACTCCTCTGTGTTCGTGTCTCTGTTTGTCTGTTTCTTCTCAATGAATCCAAGGAGCATCAATTCTGGATTTCTTAAAGCTACAGTCTTATAAAAGACTACTAGAAAGCAGTTGATATGCAGGGATGACAAAATAAAACAACATACAACTATGGCTATTGACGTTTTTCAAGATCGTAAGTTAGGCTCTTTGGATGATGCATTATGTTTGAGATAAGTTGCTGATACTCTAACATGACACTTTTTACCTCAACGACTGCTTCAAAAGCAATATAGATGTGTAAAAGTTTATGTTACTACTGGTGGCCCACGAAAATGTTTAATTTTTTCAACTGTTTCTTTCATTCTGGCTTGCTTTCCTGGTGCTTTTGTATGTTGGATTCCAACTTTACGAGGGGATTTTTACTTTTAAAGTGCTTCAGGGCTTTCTTGTAGTGACATACATTTAATAAAGCAATCTCTTGGTGATTTTTAGTTTACGGGCAAGCTTGTCTTGGTGAAGGTGTAACACATAGGTTTATGGATTTCCTTGTGGTGTTCTTGTCATGCGATTTTGCATAAGCCCAATTGAGTTTATTTCTTTTGTCCTTGTATCTTGCCATGCTTATGTGCAAGCTTTCTTTCTCAAGGTGCAGATTTATCTAGGCAAAGTGAAAGCAGAGGGTTATAGTGACCTGTTTATGAATTTAACTCACCACCTTTTTTTTTTTTTTCCAATCAGATTCCCAAGGGTGTTCAACCTGGGCAGCTTCTGAGACTAAGAGGCAAAGGTGTGCTGAACCTTTTGCTTCCCTCAGAGAAAGCTTGATTGATGCTTTTTACCGTTTTTGTTTTTTGAAATTTACATGGAGGGATGTATGCAGGGTTGCCAAAGAGTGGCTTTTTTGTAGATCATGGGGATCAGTACGTACGGTTTCGCGTAAACTTTCCAGTGTAAGCTCTTTACGTTATTTTATTTTTCCTTGCCCTCTTGTCTGTTTCTCTGGTTGGGGAGTATTTTAGGTTAGGCCTCAGTAGATAATTCAACCAACCTGCTACAAGTAATTGCTGTATTGTTGCAGAGAAGATACAAAGAGCATTATTACTAGGTTAATAAGCTAACAAGTGAAGAATGTCTTTTGAAAGTAACGATTGCATTATACCAATAAAACATACTTTGAAAAGGTCCCTGATATGATTTCAATTAACTGCTCTGCTTCCCAGAATGCTCAAAAAATCATCTGCTAGACTTGCATACATTGAGCAGCAAACTGATTCAGTTCTGATTTTCTCACTCTTCCTTTCCCAAAATAGTTCTGTTTATGTACTCACTATTCTTTCTAAAATGTCAGTCTTAGCTTCTGAACTCTGTATAGGGCCAGTTACACAAAAAGGTTGTAGCAGTTCAATACTGATCAACTAGAATGCTGTTGCAACAACTGGTTGGGTTTACGAGCATGTGATTATTTGCATATATGTGCAATGGAACATATCTAAATTCAGGAGATGTTACTCAAGGAATATAGAGCCAACTGTTTTTATTCTGCAGTATTCTACATCTATCTGCCTACCTTTCCACGGACTGAACTTTTCCGTGAACCTTGTGACCATGAGAATTTTTGAATCCTGTTATTGAAGTTGCTTTCTAGCTGATTAAATTGGGAAAGGTGATAGCTGATAATTTTCTCTTATTCAGAGTCTTAAATGAACGACAACGTGCAATACTAGAAGAGTTTGCCAATGAGGAAATTTCCAGTGAGCATAACACGTCTGGTGAAGGAAGTTGGTGAGTTTGTTCTTTCTTTTAGATATGGTAATAATACTTAAACTCTTTTTTTTTCAGTTTCGAGGTGTTGTATATGCACAAAAAAATAAAACTTGGCTGTCTCTGTATATTTTGGCCTCTTCTTTCCCTCATCCCTGTCCCCAAGAATTTTTTTACTTACCTTTGAATTTGTAATGAAAGTCTTTTTTATCCCTATTTGCTTGAACAGCCATTGAGATGATATTACCAAATTTAAGTGTTCCAGTATAAGAAGTATGCCTTGTGATTGCCATATTGTGATGGTGATTTGTAATGCTGTAAGACTGTGATAGCTGGAATCAAATTTCAGACTTACACTAGTAGCTCATTTTAGCTCGTGTTAGAAGGATGCAACTAAAAGAAAACAAAGGTAAAGTTTTGTCCCTTTGTATCTGAAGTGTAAGTATTAGTCCCCAAGACTGAAAATATATGTCAATTTTGCGGATTGTTATTGAAGAACTGGGGCTATTCTTCATATGGGTTTCACTATTTGAAAATGCAACTTCAAAATTGACTTTGTTAAACTTTCAGTGTGTCAAGTCTCATCTTGTCGTTCAGTATCTTTGGTCTGTGGCTCTTTGTTTTATTTTTTTGGAAAGTTGGAATAGGTTCTCATGCTCCCTCCTTTGCTATTGCTCCTGTTAACATGTAATGAAGATGAATAATAATTTCTTGGAAATGGAACGGCCCATGCTGTTGAAAGGAATTTGCTGTTCTGACAAATTTTGCAACCAAGGAAATTTTGGCATGGCTTGTAACATTGCACGAGTAACTTCCTCCAATGCACTAAATGTTTGGGATCTCTTTGTATGTTTGTTTTCCAGTTTATTTAATAATGTCCTCATGGATTTAGCAGTTGAGTTTTTTGGGTATACTTCATAATAGGATGGAATGTAAGAGGTAGGATTTTTTTCTTACATTTATCTGTATATTTATATCTTAAAAATAAGGACAAGCTGTAGCCGCCTAATTGGTTCTGAAGTTGGAAAGTCTCAGTTGCTTTCTTGGGATTCCTTGATCAATATACAGGACGTGAAGTTATGATTGAAGGAGCAACTTTGGAGTGTATTTTCTAATAGGATAATAACAGAATATAAAAAAAAAAAAAAGAGAAGAAGAAGAAGGAATTATGTCTTTAAATTTTTAATGTATAAAGTTCACAATGTTCATTTAAATAACTGGTTTGTTTGAGAAGGAATATATTTGCAAACTTAAAGGGGAATAAGGACTAGTCAAATGTGGGAAAAAAAAGTGGTAGAGTTTGTAGTAGCTTTTTGGGTAAGTTGGTAATTCAGCTGTTATTCAAATAAGGAAGTAGGTTTCGTTTGTAACTTTTGTTGCCACTTATTATAATGCTTTCATGTTCTCGCACATAGGAACAGGGCTGTGCAAGAGAGTGCTAACGGGATAAGTACTATATTATGTTTCGTTTAAAACCAGTGGAGCTCTTGTATGAGATCATAGAACTGCTTCTATTAAGCCCTGCCGGGCATGGAAAGGGGGTATCAGGGGTATGATGGACTCAGAAAACTGTGCAAACTTGGCTGTTAAGGTGTCTTTTTGTGCAGTACCACTGCCCTCGACCTCTTTGTTGGTTCTTTGTTAAGTTGCTATGATGCATCAATCTTCGGCTTGCTGTTATATCTAGTGGTAATTTCCTTGAATGCTCCCTGCGTCTGTTTTAGCTTTGCTAAGTTACATCATATGCACCCTGGATAGAAAAACGTTTATATCTTATGGTACTATATAGAGCATAGATCATTCATTCATTCATTCATCTTGGAGACTGTTGGTGGAAAATGGGTTCTCTCTCTCTTTTTAGTTACCATTCTGAATGTGGTGAACATTCTGGAACTGGTTAACAGGCTTTACCAGCAGCTGTCTACTGGTTGAACTTACAGGTGGCAGCAAATGCTCGGTCATGTTTTGGCCCCCAAATATGTGCTTGAGTTCTCCGCGTTGGTGTTAATCCTTCTGTTGGTGAAGAAGATTTTGGGATGAGAGTCATCACAAAGTGAAGATTGGAGTTGTGAAGGGATGGATACTTAGATGAAGAGCTAAAAATCATTTTGTGAAAAAATCGAAGTCTTGACTTTTTGTATTCTTGACAATGGAATGCTATGGCATCCGTCGCAATTTTGGTGCTGATGATCTAAAAAAAAAAAAAGGGATAGAAATTGTATGATCCCTTGACGATGAATGTTCACATTATTGCCCTCAAAGTAAATTATATGATCCCTTGACTTGACGTACACCAATTCTTAAGTGAAGATAACAACAGTATATTTTGGATTATTGTACATTAATTAATTAATAATTAGACTCTTGAGAAATACAGCACAAACAAACCCGAAACTCAGGGAGCAGCTGCTTCTGGAATTTGCTGCTTCTTGCCATGCTTGATAGCACCATAAAAGTGCGAAATAAAGCCCCAAAGAGAGAGGGCTAGAGCGATGCCCTTCTCTGCCTGGAACTTTTCATGGTAGAAAATGACGGCTAATACTTCTGTGATTGGAAGTAAAGCGGCGAGCATGATTCCGGAGAACAAAGATGAAGCACAGAAGATTATTCCAGTGAATCCCACCGTGAAACATTGCCAAACAATGGCACACCAAACTAGAACCAAGTAATATTTTGTTTCTCCCAGTTGATATTCTCTTGCCTCTTGGGAAATTTCCTGCATAATTACACGCTTGAAAGATCATGTACAAGGAAGAAAGGCAAACCCAAGAAATGAGTATTCCTATATTTACCAGGCAAAAGTATGGGAGAAACAGACCTTGAAGTCATTGTTGACTAGCATCCCGACAGCTGAGAAAACCGTGGCAGAAATGCACACCACCGACTGAAACTCCATCACCAAGGTGTAGCTGATTGCCTGCTTGGCCTTCATGTACGTCAATTCAATCAAAGGTAGGAGACACCCAGACAAAGCTGCAGCTGCAAATGTCAAAATGAACCCCAAAACATACGTCTTATTTTTCTCACCCTTTGGTCTTTCACTCCCAGCATGAATTGCCAAAACCACCGATCCCAGTGTCAACAGCACTATGGCGTTTACCGTATACGCATTGAACTTTTGGCCGACGAGAATGAAAGCTGAAAATGCGGTGAAAACTAGCTGAGTCGCAAGGATGAGGGAGTTGGTTGACACGGGCAAGTGCCCGACGCCAAAGGAATACAAGTGATTGGTTAAGCCGACTAGGCAACCGATGATTACTCCTGATATGAGCGTCCGAAGATCGATTAGGACTAGTTTGGTAGGGGAGCCTCCTTCGGGTTTCTTGCGACGATTGCAATACGAAGCTACAAGTGGGATGAGAATGAGAGGCCATGCTGCAGTTTGTAGCCACCCTGTTAACCATATTCTTTTGCCTCCATGGAGGAAATAGAGACGCATGATCAACGGACCGCCGCATGCCCCGACGGTTACTAAAATGATGCTTAGCATAAGCAGTAATTTTCTCGTAGGGTTGCTAATGCGTTGAGCTTCCATTTTCGTCTACTTGATTATCGCCAAGCTTCGTGTTTCTGAATGAATCAAGAAAGGGCTGCAAAAGATTGTAATTTGTAATCACCAAACTTGATTCTGGACTAATTAAATGTGGTCCAAATGAAACTTGAGTCTTTAATTTTTCAGATGAATGTGTGGAATCAGAAATGGATTGATGTTGTGTGATGATTATGAAAGCTAACAACTTATACAAGGGAGATCAGAGGTCACCAGGCATTTGCTTACTGTTAAGTGTTAACTCCAGATATCGATGGGAAAACACAACCACCCACCCATGAATGCTCAATTTTCATCTTTAATTCCAGCCATCGCGCCATTATATCTATAACCAAAAGGTTCTTGAACTTCTAATCATTTGACAAGAATAATGATGTAGGCATCTTTAGGGCTTCAATTTTAAGTACCATGAGTTAGGTTTACCTGCCAAGAGATCTCATTAATAATAGCCTTAAATCTCCATTCCAATTAAAATCTATTGTGTGGTAAGCTGTAGTAGTCGGGGCCGTTAAGAAATTAGGATGATATGTAAGGTAATACATTACTTCTTCATAAAAGATGACAGGCTAATACATTTATTACTGTCAATGCGACTCCTCATGATGCTTCCCTACATCCTCATACTATGTTTTCAGACTCGGACCAGATATTGATTCAGTCGAGCTTAGGGATCAATGATCAATGAATTTGATCGGGATTGAACCGAATGATGCCATAAATAAAAATTATTTAAAAATTAAAAGATTGTATCTAAAATACCTAAAAGCATGTTAATATTAATAAAGATATATTCATATATATATATATATTTGATGTTTCAAATATATTTAATAAGAAAATATAAAGAAATTAGAATGATCAAGTAGCAATTTATATTATTCAATGAATACTAATAAGTTTAGAATTTAAATTATGGACATGATTGAGAAATAACACCAAACTTTAGGACAACATTTATAAAGTATGAAATATTTGATGTATATTAATAATTTTTAACAACTTAGGGGTCAAAACATTATATTAAAAATGCTTTGACTTTTCCCACAAAAAAAAAAAAACCAACTCTGCACACAAATCGGTTCTTCCGATTTTTTGATTAAACTCGATTTTTGACTGGATTTGAACGAGTTTTTATCCATCCAGTTTTTTAGATAATATTTTGGGAAATTTTGCAGGTAAAATTGGGTTCAAAGAGCTGAACGTCAATTTCACTCCTACGCATTTTCATCTTTACTAATCAATGTTTAGCCTAACAGTCAAAAATTACATGATATGAAAAAAAAAAAAGCGCCATACCCGTAAACTAAATATTTCTCAAAGAATATTAGCACTAATTCATGAATCATGATCTTTAATTCGAAGAACACATTCTGCAGATGTGTTTGGTCATCCAAATCTGGATAATACGATGAAATACATGCATATGTACGTCTCAATTAATATGAATTTTTTTCGGTCACAACTGTATAGCAATCAACTACGTACAATATAAGAAGGAGGTTATACATAATTATCTCTGGTCAGTGGCTAATACTTAAATACTTTTCCACTTGCTAGAGATGCATTTTCCATCATAACTAAGCTGATCGAATGGAGACTAGATCAGTAAGACCAGCTAAGAAAAGACGATCAGCTTATCCTACCTAGTGATCTCAACTTAAAGAGCAGAAACTGAATACAAATAGCTTTCAAATTATTCTGCGCACCATATACGAAAAGGGAATTGAAATGATTCATATACAAGAGAGATGTGAAAGAACCGCGAAGAAAGAAGCGGAGCCTCGAAGGAACTTGACACACAAGCACCAAAATCTAACAGTTATATATATAGTAGGTCTACTACTGTCCTCTCAAATTCACCACCAACAGGCAAGCAAACCTTAATCAGACAGACAAAGTCCAAGGAAAATCCAGAAGAGTAAAGAAGAAATTGCGATATGCTTTAATTAGTTCTAAAAGGTTACCGGTTGGGCAGATCTAGAGATGTCTGTTTAATTAGTTCTCAAAGGTTACCGGTTGGGTATTAGTACACAGTAGTAAACTTTTCCGTCTAATGATCTTGTGCCAAGTTAGTCATGGTTCGAAGACTCGGCCGAGACCGAGACGACTCGGCCGAGTCGTCTCCGTCTCGGCCTAGTCCGAGACGATACCGCGACCGAAACGTTTCGAGATACGTGACAGGCCGAGACGTCACCGTGAAGGGTTGAAACGGCCGAGTCACACCGAATCACTCCGAGTCATCCCGAGTCAACTTGAATTTTTATTATTTTTACTAAATTTTTATTATTTTTATTTATCATATTTTTTACAAATTTTAGAATATTAAATATTTTAAAAATTTGTGTCTCACCGAGACCGTGACCGATATGTCGAGACCGATGTGGAACGTTTCCAGCCGCGACCGTGACCGCGACCGCGACTTTGAACCGTGAAGTTAGTACACATAGGCTACATGGAGGAGGAAAGAGACCTTAAAATTATTCTTCACGATCATGCCAACAGTGGAGGTTGGTTGGGGGAAAAAAAGCCAAACACAGTCTGAATCTCCATCACCAAAGCGTAGCAGATGGCCTGCTTCGCTTTCTTGTACGCCAGTTCAGTCAACGGCGAAATTAACCCGTTTACAGCACTGGATGCCAATCTCAAAACAAACCCTAAAACATGCATCTTCTTGCTCTATCCCTTAGGTCTGTCGCTGCCTCCATGCAAGGCCACAATCACCATTTCCACCGTTAGCAAGACGACCGCATTCATGGTATTCGGAGTAAACTTTTGCTTAACAATAAGAAATGCAAAAAATGCAGTGAAAGCCCAGTTGTGATGCCGCAACGAGTGAAGCAGTGGAGACCGGCAAATCCGCCACCCCAAAGGCATAGTACGTAATAAATTGCTTAGCCTTCAAGTAAATTGACTCCACCATTACCAAAATCAGCCCATACACAGCTGCAGCCTGCAGCTGCAAGAGTCATCGTGAAAACTAAAACATCCAACCTATTTGACTCGCCCTCTGGCCGATCAATCCTTGTATGCAGGGCCAAAACAACCAACCCAACCCCACGGTCAAACAAAACAAGAGAAGATGCTGTGAACTTATTCTTAACAAGAAGGTAAGCAAATATAGCAGTGAAAACAAGCTGTGTAGAAACGATGATAGAAGAGGCTGAGACGGGGAGGTGGGCTAGCCCGGAGGCGCACAACTAATTCGCGACACGGGTTAGGATGCCGATGACGGCGGTCTCCGTGAAAACCAGATAATTGATAAAAAAAAATAGGCTGGTGCTGTGGCCTTGATTCTTGCGGCGATGGAGATAGGAGATAGTTAGTGGGATGAAAATTAGAGGCCATGCTGCGGTTTCTAACCTGCTTGATAGCCATCTACTTTTGCCTCCTTTGACGAAGTAGAGACGCAGCATCAAAGGGCCACCACAGTTGCCTATTGCTAAGATTATGAGTTGAGAAGCAGGATGGTTTTCTCATGGTGTCTCTGACTTAATTTTGCTGCTGCTCCACGACCAGGCCTCAAAACCACAATGCACGTGTATATTGATGCATGCATCTATAGAAAGACCAGTAGCAGATTTAAATGGTAAACTACATACACTTTGACTTCTATGGAGAAGTTTTTTGGAACAAAATGAATCATTTTCCGCCTCTTGAATACAAAGAAATCATAGCCATGTAAATGTTTTTAAAAAATTTCATGTAGATTCGGTTTCAATCACCATTACTAGACAGGATATCCCCGAGGCATAACCATGTAAGCGTGTAGTATGGCAAGGAGGGAACCTCTGTGCTTATAATTTGAGACAGCGTTTATTATGACAGGAGCCAAGGCTTCTACAGTCATGAGTTCAATTTACGGAAGAAAATGTAAACACTGATATGCTAACCATATATATTAACATAATAACATGCAACAATTAATTGACATAACAAATTTTGATACTTCTAAGTAATTGTATCTTAGATTGATCTCATCCATCAATTTTAAATCGCACCTAACAAAATCATTAACTTTTCATTGCGATCAAATCTATGATTGAAGGCAATCCACACCCAGTTCTGATCCCTCCTTCGAAGCAATTGCCGCATTATTGCCAACTCACTTGACAAACTTAAAAAATTATGTGGTTGACAATACATACATAATTAACCACTGGGTCATTGGTTCAGTGGTCACCAGGGAGGGGTTTAAATCCCTCCTTAAAGTGTAGGTGAGGGTTATACCATAGCACTTCTTTGATTTAGTTGAGTTTGTATACCCACTAGCCCCCTACCACAGCCTCCTTAGGCTCCCTCTCCCCTCTAGATTAGGATAGAGTAGGTTATACAAGTGTATTGTTACTGACAAAAAAAAAAGACAATACATACATAATTGTGAGGACTACTTTAGTTACGGTTATAAATTGGATTAGAAAATGTCAAATGCATATTTATAAGTGTAAAGGCTGCGACACAAACGGCAGTTTGGTAGCCTGGAAAAATATTAGAATACAATTTCATTAAATTAACTTTATAACATTGTTGCACAAATGTGCGTACTCTTGTAATGGTGTTGAAAACTTCACCTTATATCTAAATGTGTGTTTTCTGCGTCAACTTCACCTTATATTTTGGCGCACAAGAATGGACGGGTCACCTCGAATATATGCAGTAAGTACTTTGAGTTTAATTGTTTATTTGTTCAATGATTCCTTGAGTTGATCGAATAAATTTCTTATTGTATTCATAACTTTACCCAAGATTATTATTGGTTCCGGGGGTGCTACTCCGATTATGTCACTATCTTTGACAATAAAACACAAGTTAGGCTTGAAATCTGTTTCTGCCACTACTGATTTTCAATTTTTTCTCTGGATCATTTTCAAAAACATGTTGATCAACGTTTGAAGCTTGTTACATGATCGAACAACTTTCCTGATGTTCTATATATAAGCCCTTCCTTGATAGAGCTGCCATTCCACTTGCAATGCGTTTAGTCAGTAGCCGCTCAAAATTTGTGCAGAATCATTGGGTTTGCAGAATTGCTCGAATGTAAACCTAGTTGAGAAGAAGTCCAAAATGTATAATAAAATAGATGATCCAAGGTTTTCTCATGGACTACTTACATATTCATATATTTAAATGATTGAAAAATGGTACACCTCCCACGCAATGAAAATAAAAATACTCTCAATTGAATGTGAGATCTGTATATGCAATACAAAATTGGGCCTCTC